TTTTAACGGTTTTGTTTCAAATTTTCTGTTTTAACGGATTTTCGATATTCAGTGTTCCGCGACAAGGATGACCCCTGTTAATTTTCAGCAATATAAGATTTCTGTCCCAGAGAGATAACAAGCAGACGAACACGATAGAGATTAGATTTCTTGATGAATGCTAGATCCGTATACAATTTATTAAACAACCAAGTTTTCCTTTCGAATAATCTGCTGTTGATGCATAGATGCTGCGTGGGCGTATCTCCACACTTTGCGTGACTATCGTTCAAATTCCTTTTGAATCATTAGTATCACAAGCAGAGGAACCCTATTCATTTTCGGCAGGACAATGAACCTTATTGATTTGCAGCAGTCCCTGAATTTTTATGGCGTTATTCCTATTTTCCGGTAAACCTTGTGAACGCGTTAAATCCCAGAGTAAGATTTTTTATTTGAATTCTGCTCCGAAGCATTTGTGCCACAAGACAATAAACTCTCTGTCTAGCTTTATTCTAAAACAAAATATTGTCCGAAAACCATGCAAAATATAACATTTTCAATTAAACGTCGCCCACACATTAAATTGAAATAAAAAAAAAAGTACTCTAACATTTTTTACAAAGGAAAACTGCTAACTAATGAAAGAATAAACGGACAACCGATAGGGTACCCATGATTTACACTAAATTTGAAATATGATTAAAATCGATAGGTTTCATCTTCTTATGGCCCCAATACTTCACACCAAATATGAAATTCAAAACCCTGCCACGTTAGCTTTAATGTGTGAAGCTTTGAATTACAGACATGCTTGTTAAATACGCTTCCGGAACGGAAGATCGCTAACCATTGAATATGAATGACCCCAAAGCTTCACACAAAATTGTAAAAGCGAAGCCTCTATGACGTGAACAAGGCTTCCAGGGAGGTGAAGGGTGTGTGTGGGGGGGGGGGAGGTATATTACGGAACAGAAGGTCAAAGAATGCTGTATATCGATAGGGTTCTTCCTCTCATCGTCACATTTGAAAAAAATACGGACAAAGAGGGTAACTCTCGAATAGAAGTTTGCGAAGTACTGAAAATCGAAAGGTCCTAGTGCTTCACACCACATTTGAAAAACAAAATCAGTTAAAAATTTTAGTCTCTAATGGGTTAACATTTTTTTCGGAAAAGGTGGACAACTCCAGAACGACAAGGTGCGCTAGAAGCGACAGGGACCGCCCTCTCAAGGCACCAATACTTTACACTAAATTTGAAACAAATCCGTTAAAATCTGTAGGCTCTATCGTGCTATTAAGGTTTTGGGGAAAGTGTTGGGGGGGGGGGGGGGTAAACTACGAAACGACTGGTTGTGGGGCGCTGAGAATACGTTAAATCTACGCGCACACATAAAAACACCCGCGATCTCGAGCAAATTTACATAGGATGGCAAGATCCCGAGAAAGTTAACTCGAATTCTCGAGATCGTTAACACAGGGTGGGCGATTCTCGAGAAAATTATTAGGGGATTTCGAGAACATTAAGTTGAGATCTCAAGAAAGTATCACAGGATCGCAGGATCTCGAGGTCTTCTACAAAATTTTGCGTGACCCCTATACGCTTCCGTAAAAAATCACTTAGGTGAAAATTATAATTGACTTGGGTGAAAATCACAAAAAAACAAATTATATTAAAATTGACTTAGGTGAAAATTAAAAAAATAAATAAATGAAAATTAAGCCACCGTAGAAATGATAACTCTATTCGAGTTTATTTTTATTCACATAAATTATTTATTTACAAACATAATATAGTCTATCAGGTACTACAGGTACCTTACACAGTTGGGTCTGATTGTTGTCATAATTTAATCGTATTCCTACCAGTATCCCTTTTGCGATTATAAAGCTTAGTGGTGTTATACATATGGAAAAGTCGTTTGTTTTAATGTCGCGGATTGATAAACGCGACACTAAAAGGCGCGTTTGTCAATACACAAATACAGTTTTGACTACACATACCGAATGAACCGTTGTATGTCTTGAAAAAAGGTTACAACTTGAAATCGTTGAACATGATTAGCATAAATGTTTCAAGCAGCCTTTCACAAAGAATTAACCAATTTTATTGGCCAAAATACTTCTGAGATCGTTTTTTCAACATACACTGTATTAGGTATGCTTGCTTACACGACCGTAAATTAGTTTAGGCTTTAGCGATTCAAATCAGTTCGTCTAAATAATATCGACTCGTATGCAAAAGGCGATGTCCCCATGTTCGTTATATGTCAAACCGAATCATTATGAATTCCACCTACAGAAGACATTTCTTTCATATACAGTATAACTGCTTTGTTAATAATGCCTAACAGCACTGTAACTCTAGATAATATCGTAAACAATTAATAATTGTACTCGGTTGTTTTGTAGGGTTTTTTTTATGGTCTCTTACACCCAGAAGGGATTAATTTGTAAGGAGGAGGAGGCTTGTCAAACAATTGATTTATAGTCTTGTAGACTAGACATTCTTTTATTGTTTCCGGCACGTATATCTCGATTGCGCAAAATAAACGAGGCTATTCTCGAAGTGTTCCAAAATTGGCTAGCATTCGGATACCCTAGATAAAGTCTCTACTACAGTTTATTTTCCCACTTGAAACATTTAATTACAGACCTCTTTTCCTCATCTAAATTTAACAAACACGTGTTCTATAGACCATTAAATTATTCGGCCTTTAAAAAAGAGGGAAAAGTAACAACCGACACTGTTAAATTATGAAGATTTTTGTTTCCACTGTTCTGAAGTTTTGTTACCAGTCATTTAATTTAAATAAAAGAAAGATGAAATATTTTGTCCTATACATCAACAATAGGAATACTGTAAAATGGTTTACGTCTAATGTCTGTAGCTGTCAATTGTCAAGTCATACTTAACGTCGTCATATCAACCAACAAAAAGAACTAATCTTACAGTATTGTATAAACAGGAAGTTACATCTATCAAGATAATACATTTCTCTATTCATTAATATCACTTGATTCCCACCAGAAGTGTTTTCGGTAGTTTCTAGTCCGTGTTTTCTTTTGAAAAGTAGATCAGCGCTGAAACCTCACTACTCACGGTTCAGGCTATGTCTTCTAGATCATTCATAGTATTATAAAACATGTCTTTGTACAGTCTTATTTAAATAGTTCGATCCAATCACTTCCCAATTAAGACGGTTGGAATTACAAAATGGGATTATTTTCCAGATATATTGTCTATTAGACTAAGAAATTAGCATAAACATGGGTATAGTTAAAAGTGTCTTAACCACAACTGGCGTCTTTTAGTTAAACTATTACTTAATGAGACTTTATGTGAGACTAAGATAAAGAGTCGACCGTTCGCCGCTTAAAAATAGATAACGAAGAACGGGTATATTGAAAATTTGATTATAGGCTTGCCATAAATGTCTAAATAATATTTTATATAACATTTGAAGCCAGAAATATACCTGCATAGACAGATTTAGCTCTTACATAATGCATCTTTAAAAAATAACGATGTTAAAATGGTCTCACGATCCTGTAATAATATGATAGTATTTTGGCTCTTTTTTCATAGACGTGGACCGATAGAACAGAAATTTGATCTTCGACGGAATTTTCCATAATGACTGTCGTGACCTGACGATTCAAGCCATTTAAAAGAGACTTATTTGCCTTAGTAACAACGTATTAGTCTGTTGCATATATATCCCAAGCAATAACTCGAAGCAGTATTAGAAGATAGTATTTATATGGGCGTGAATTACGTCTGCCATCTTCAAGTCAATGCCAACAGTAATTTACTGCTGCCAGAACGCGGAGAAGCGTGGTGACCAGTAGTTACAGTGGGATTTTATATGGCTTAAAGGAGCTAATATTTGGAAACTAGGAATTGACACAAATGGGTCGCAACGCATATAATAATATGATATGAATGCATATAAACTGATTTAAATTCAAATGTTTCTGTTTTTACTCTAATTTCAAATCAATACACAAAAACACACACTTATGGACTAACAGCTACTTATTTATTGGGGCGACGTTTCGAAGAGTATTCTCGAAACGTCGCCCAAATAAATAAGTAGCTGTTTTTCCATAAGTATGTGTTTTTGTGTATTGCTCTATCTAGTTACTAAATGCCTCTAAAAGATTAATTTCAAATCAGTTATGTTTGGCGAAATACGCCAAAAGTCTCAATTGAATAGCAATCTCTAGCATCTGGTTATTTCAGTCTACACCGATAGTATTTATTGTGCATGCCCTCCAGATAAGTGAAATATGTCTACCCTTCGAGTCCTTGTTACAAATGGCGATGAAACGCATTATGGTACACGATTCGTGTACCGATGGTAAAATGTTTATTTTGTCTTAAATATTAGAAGCCCATCTTTTCCCGGTAAGACCACAAATTCATTGTTGATTTAAATTGACAAATAATTTGTGTTTCCAATATCGAAAACTTTGGATGATATTGAATTAGAGACTTATTATAGCTACTTGAAATTGTTGAGGTCCGTTCAGCGTTGCTACGTTATCAATGTGAACAAAAATATTCTTATGTCCAAAATTGGTGTTAAATGTTAGTTTGATATTTAATATGTCGATACACATCAATTGGTGATTGATGGAACAAGATTTAAAACTGATGTCTTAATTTTCAAGATATTATGGTATGATATGTCTACAAAATTGTCACACTGTTGTATAGGAATATCATACATTTTAGTAGATATGGTCATCCGTACAACACAAGCCCAGCCCAGAGGGGCAACCACTCCCCACATCTTCAATATAAATTCATAATAACCAATCGTGCGTGTTTGAGATAGATTAGATATCTACAAAGCTCCTTGAAAATACAGTCACAGTTTTGTGAAAATGTACATGACGTCAGACCGCGTTGTCATTTAACCAATATTTAAAAAATATTCCTCACTGTTCATATGCCAACAGACCATAAATGGGTTTTAATGTGGGAATAGATACTGATCAGGTAGTCAGATCGCTAGTGTTTGCTGACTCTTGGAGAAAAAATATAAAATAATGATAAGCTTATAAACAAATACACAGTACTTCCAATTAACCGCATGTTTTTACTTTTAAACTAGTAGTATAATCAAGGTTTACGTAAGCTTCCACCTAGGGTAATGTTGTAAGAATTTACTGAAACAGTTCACATTTGTAAATAGTACCACCACATCACCACTGTCCCACACACTTGCATTCTTATAAAAAACAATATCACCACTCAATAATATGCTTGTACTCAGAGTGTATAAGAGCTTTGTTTGAAAATTTTATTCACAAATACGATTTATCTTTAGCCCTTGTGCTTTATAAGAATGTTAACACTAACCGATATAAAAAGTGCCATCTTCGCTATCAGTGAAATCAGTGTGTCAAGGAGAGACAACGCGACAATGGTTATTCGTTGTCTTTCGCATACACCTTCGATGCTATTTAAAAGTTTATAAAGTAAATAAAATATCTGGAGCACAACATATAGAACACTCGGACAACTGCGGCTCTAACTCTAAATGTACGTATAGACAATATATTAAGAAAGTCGACCGTTAAACACGACACGCCCCTCAGAAAAGGGCTAGAAGTTATCACTGTGTTAGATTGCACCTAGATGGGTAAATGTTTTGATATGGATGAATCCCAGACAAGAGCAAACACACACCGAGTCATTACAAAGTGTTTTCAATTTGAATATCTACACAGCAACGGCATAATTGAAATTCGACCAAAGAACTAAAGAATAGCACTTGAATACAGACCGAATTCGTTATTTTCTTGTTTCTGTAAACATCTTAAATCTAGTCAGCTGCGACGAAATATTCTTTTCAAATTTTCCTGGAAAACTGGATTCATGAAGGCGTAGATACATGGATTGGCTACGTTATAGCTAAAATACATATAAAAGACGACGATATTGGTCGGAATAAACTTGTGTGCCATTAACCAGGCTGGTAAAAAAGCTATTATAAAGACAACAGTTACAGTAAACAGCATGACGGCTGTTTTAATATTAGCAGAACGAGTTTCATCTCGCAACTTATCCGCGTCGTATGTAAATGAAGAAACACTCCGTTTCTCTGTATTCTTATATTTGTCCATTTTCACAGATTCGTCATCACTAACAGAATCTTTATCGGATTTGTTTGGTTGTTGCTGTTGTTGTTGCTCCTCATCGCCGCCATTTAAAAGAGTGAGGCGTGTTCCTTCAAAACCGTGTTCCCCATTCATATACGAACATAAGACCAGCTTTTGATGCAGCTTTTTGGATCTACGTATTTGAATAAATCTATAGATTAATCCGTACAGAACACAGACGATAACAAGGCAAACCACGAATAACACCGTATAGAATTTCTGATACACATTTAGGAAGTGAAAATCTAATATGAGATTGTTTGGAGAACAGATGCCGATGTAAACAATTTGGTCCGTTTTACTGATTGACGAAATAACTTGACTGGCATTTTTCTTGTTCAATAATTCTCGAATGTACGACAGAACTACTTCAGTGACGTCATTCGAAGGTAGCGGTTCATCGACAATGGGTCGCCAGTCCAAGAATTTGCTTCCAATGCCATCGACAATCCTGGCTTGGTTGGCATCTGATATTTGATAAGATGGAACACTGGCCTGGCGATAAACACCATAAGCCAAACATGTAATAATTCCAAGACAACAGGCAAATGTCGATAAACACACAAGAACAATTTTCATCCGCAATGGCGTGACAATTCTTCTTAGCGGGTGGCAGATACAGAAATACCTATCGAACGATATAGCTACCATAATAAAGGCGGAAAGAGGCACTTTAGAAGTGATTAAAAACTGATATAATTTACACACAACATCGTATTTGATGTCGTAAAGCAAATACTCTACGACAATCGTAAATGGGATGATAACAGTGCAAGTGAAAAGGTCTATAACAGACATCGTCAATATGAAAATCTGCGCCGTTGATTTATCCCGTACTTTATAAAAGACAAATGTAGCTAAGGCATTACCAACTGAACCAAGTATAGAAAATGTTGAAAGTATGATGATAAGAGCCAACATTTCCGGCTTCAAGTCCGTAGACGGTGGCATGTCATAGGTTTCGTTAAACATCACTAGTTCTTCATTAAACAACCATTAACCTGAAAAATATAAATAAACTAATTATCATCATTATAGACTAAATTCCAATTCCCAGCTTTCACAGTATTCAAGAAAAGGAAGTAAAAGGGGGGGGGGGGCACACATTCACTTCGAGAACCAGTTTTCTATATTACAAACGTTTGTTAAGTACGAAGAATGCATGTTTCACCCATAAAAGTACATAGTTCATATCCATTTGAAAATATATATATTTCTAATTCTAACTGTATAATTACATTATCGCGCGCCATATGGGCCTTAATTAAGTGTATATGTTTTATTTATGTAATAACAACGCTAATATGTTGTTTGTCTGATTCAAGGGTTCCCAAACTTGGAATAAATGTGCTGTAACCTTTCAATATTAATAAAAGGTAATAAATGGAATAATTAGGTATTTATCGGTTGGTTATTTCCAATAAAAGTATGGTAATTTTGGTATATATGGAAAGTAGAGATATCCAATCTTATTAGAAAAATACTGGATTCCCCGAAAAACACTCATGGGGCAAGCATTGTTGTCTGCCAGCTTATGTATGCTAGCTTGACTGGGGGAGCGGTTGTTATTTCTTGAGGGGTATCAACGTACAAAAGACTGCAATTAAACGGCGGAAAAAGTAGTTAACAGACAATAAGAATTCACCTAGGCTTCAATATATATGATAACTGGACAGTAAGTAACAAAAAATACATTCTGAAAAATGGCTCCCCTCTCAATGAATTGAGCTGACTGACATGGCGTCTAACAACAGTTTATTTATAGCTCGCGGAATCTCCCGACGAATACAAAGTTTTGAGAGAGATTTGAAGCAAATTAAATATGATTTTAGTCCAAATAAATCATCAAACACCCAGTTTGTACGCGGGAAAGTATCTTCAAAATAATACACTATAAACCGTATTTTGAATTTTGTCCTTTGTTATTTTTATGTTTATTTAATTTAATATAGCGCTCATTATTATGATAGAGTAAATGAAATAAACACATAATACGAATAATTGTTATTTACAAAATTTTATTTTTAAAAGATACGATTTTTAAGTTTGCTTGAAGCTTTCTTATAATAAAGGACACTCTTTCAGATTACACGGTGTTCTTTTCTGGTGTGTTTTTTGGCCTGGTCACATTAAAAGATCTGTATCATCAAAAGATTTATGTTTTGGGAAAATAGAAATCCGGATAGAAGTGTTTAACTCTAATTACCAAATAAAACAGGTCAGGCGTAAATTTACTTCCGATGTTGTTGTTAGTTAGTTGTATTTTACGTCCGCTTCCACCGAAGTGATATCGCAGACAAATTTACTTTCGAGAGACTGCCATGGATAAACGGAACAAATGTGTTAGAGTCCCTGGTCAACACCAACGTTATCCCTTTAAATTTAAGCGGCGAACATCTCAAATTATGAAGTTCTGGCCTTGAACAAATATAATTGCTATCAATTTAAACTCATTTTAAATGAATGTCTAATCAATAATGATTTTATGTCAAAACTGTTTTGTTTTTTCAATAGATTATTGCAATTTAATTATTATATCGATTGTCAAAGGAATAAATCTTTTAAGACACAGCAGCGTATTAAATAGTAAATACACTTTTCATACTTCAACCCTTAAATCTGGGTTTCTTTTTCTATGTCAAAACAATTTTGTCAATTTCGAAAGACAATTGCAAAATAATTATTAACCGATTATCGAAGGAATAAATCTTTTAAGACACATCGACATGTTAAATGTTAAATAGTAAATATATACATTATTAACTTTAACCTTTATCAAAAATATAAGCCGTAAATAACTAAACAGATTGCAAAACTAAATATTGAGCAATAGATTCCGCACTCAAAATGAACTTTAGGAGCCCCCACAAATTAAAAAACAGAAAAAAATGAGATCACGACTAATTATTTCTTAAATGTTAAAAAAACCCACACCAAATAGTAATTCAATTCCATATTAACTCCTGCTATTATGGATTAATAGGATGAACAGGAAATGAAATTCTTAATAATAAAATGTTATAGATATTATATTAAACGGGTAAAACTTGACCTAAATAATTGAAATAAACTGAAATGGGGTTTTCTGCACCATCCGGTTACCGTAATAAAGAAATATAATAACACCGTATTCATTATAGAAATGTGAACTTAATGATGGCGCCAACACGCCTTTACTTTAATTCACAAAATTAGCATATATGAGAGCATCACTGATTTGTTTCTTAGTTTACTTTTTTAGATCTTAACCTAAAAGGTATAATTATCTTTTCAGATTTATGTACAGTAATCTAATAATGTGTTACCCGTCGATGTTATTTCCATATCACACACTAACACACACACGCATAAAGGGCATCTAAATCAAATTCACAATTCACAACGTGTAAGCTCACATTTTGCATGTATTTACCGTCAACAAACAGTTTAGTACCTTATAAACCAGCTTCCAAAAACAACAAAAAACAAAACTCTTCTGAAATATGATGTAAAGTATTTAAATCTGTTTCTCGCCAATAGCTATCAATAGCTAAAACAATTTCAGCACAATACGATAAAGAACACCAGCAACAAAAATAAATCCATACATGGTATGACATTGAGAATTGATGGATAGTTACTCCAACTCCGCACAGGTTACCATCTCCGCGGACAAATATTACAAGTTAAACTAGGTATTGTGATGTTTAAAATACATAATATTATTTACCATGATATGTGTAGGTAGATATAATATACACACAAAATACTTCAGTCAATCTCAACGCTCCTGTATCTCGGTGATTCCAACAAACTGTTCGTGCTGTTCGACTTAAAACAAGATTGAACGCACGAAAAGAAATAGATTGAAGCTGACGACAAAATCGATGAAAGAAGCGACTGGTGATGAATTAATCTGGACCAGTTGAAGCCAGGTGCTGTATATCAAATATCTTTTTTCAAAACGATATATTTCATTTGAAATTTATCTTTTATATGTCTTCACATTATTAAAGTAACATTGTCAGAAAAAATAACCGAAAAGGAGATATATCGGGGTTGACGAATCGACAATTTGATGATGCAATGCTTTGTTAAATGTTCACCAACCGAGCAAAGGTCTTCTGCGACTAGCGTAACAATGTCCAATTTTATAATGCATATTTTATTAAACCAAAGGTCTTTTGCGTAATAATGGTCATTTTGATGATGCATGTTTTGTTAAATGTCCACCACCCAGCAAAGGTCTTCTGCGTTTAGCGTATTAATATTCAAACATCTACCTCCACCTTGTGACGGTACAACATTTTAACACTAGAAGCCGGTCCAGGTTTACAATTTTTAAAATTATGATAATAACTACATGGATGAACCCTTTAGTTTACCTTTAATCTCATATTTCACTCATTGATGTACCATTCATTATTGATCATTGCTTGATAAATATACCCGTAAGAGTATTGAAACGTGGCATGTAATAAACTAAGAGGTAGTAAATCCATAAAGTTGTGTTATTATGGATATTATACCTCTACTTCAAGGATATCATTTAGATGTTATTTGCATTATATAGCCATCAACACATTTCTGACGAAATGAAACAAAACGTTCACATCTAAAAAGCAGACAAACAATGCATTCATGCATCAATCGTCATGAATAATCAAAAATAAATTGATCGGGGAGGATAGCCAACTTTACTCGAAAATAAGAGAGAAAAAAAATCACCCAGCTATTTTAAGCATTGTGTATTTTTGAGGTTAGATAAATAATATAAAACAGTAAGCTATGTTTTTAAAACTTTGCGCGAGAAGTGTAAATAACTACACATATATACTTTAAAGATACACTGTACATATATATTATAAATGAAGAGATTTTTATAATAATGAATTGGGCCATACATTTTGTTCGTTATCTGACAAAAAGCCGATTAAAATCTTGTCCCCTGTCCAATATTTCATAAGTGAATTGAGCATTCACAGAACGGGGGTCTAGGACAACTGCCGGCCATTTTATTATTTATTATTTATCTTTTTCATACCCCCAAATTTTCATGTGGACGTGAATTGTCGTCGCCCCTGTCCGTCCGAAAGATCTCGATTCCTTTCCTTGCGATATTGGCATATATAGGACCATAACTTCGAGGATTATGGCCCCTGATTGTACGAAAAGTCACGTTTTTAGCGTGTGAACACTCTTAAGAGGTCACAATTTTGATCCGATTTTGATGAAACTTGAAATGCATGTTTATAACCCAGATATCGGGGTGGGACGATTTACCCAATACTACTCAATATCACCACATACTACCCATTACTACAACATAATGATGCAAAATAGAGATATCAATATGATTTTTCAAAAATAGAGAGTTATAACGCGGGAAATGTACTTAAAATGCGATACCGATGGTTGGCAGTTCCATTTGCCCCCCTATACCACCCAAAAACAAGCCAATAATAACCCAATACTACCAAATACTCATCAAATATTACCCAATATGACCAAATAACAACCTAATATTTCAAATAACAGCACATTAGTATAATTACTGCAACGTATATTCGATATTTTGCAGAAAATTGACATGTTTAATCAGTTATCTCCCTTAAAACATATCTTTATATTCAAAAAATCTGAATCCCTTTTGATATTTGCGCATTTCAGACCATTGTGATTTCAGAAAAGTTATTGATTTCTATTTTGGAATGATAGTTTTTTGATACGACCAAAATTTCCCAAGATATTGAATACTTTGGATTTGCAGAAATATTTATATTGGCCAAGAAAGTTCCTTTGGACTTTTAAAGGGGTTTCTCCCTGTCAGTGGTGCAGGGCAGATGGGTCTTGGAAGGAACAGAATCTAGTCGTTCGGATGTGACGAAAAAAAACAAGATCCTGTGTACATGTCGGTGTGTACGTAAATGAACCGTTGACAGTTGGAATTCGAAATGAGTTGGCAGTAGCACTGCTGTCTGGGCATTTCCTTCATAGCACACTGGCGTTTGCTT